CACACACACACACACACACACACACACACACACACACACACACACACACACACACACATGAAGTCCTTTATGGGAATTGGAGTGCATTTTCTTCTTGTCTTGGTATTTCCCCCATTTAGCAGGATTGCTGTGGGGGTCAGTGAATCATTGTGTTTCTCATGGTATATAACTTTAACAAGTGGCACTGCCTTGTAGAACTTAAACGGGTGCCAATCCCCCCCCGACCCACCCACCTTCTTTTCTCTGATCATGGGATGACAGTTCATGCTGCATGATCCGCTCTGATCATTTGCAGCACTTCACATCGTCATCGTCATCGTCATCGTCGTTCACGACAGAGCGCAGCGAATGTCATCATGAACAAGAGAGCGGTGGATGGCATTGAATTTCCTGTTAGAAGGCAGTGCTGATTTTTTAGAATGAGGGGTGTGTAGTTATGGAGGGGCCAGGCAACTTTGGCCAAGAGACGCCGCCGGCCCGCCGCACTCCGATCTACGGCCATCTGCTCCCGTCTTTGGGCAAGTGTGTGTTTCGGGCAGGAAGCAAAAAGCGAGTGAGTCGCTTTTTGGTAAATAATGCTTGGTTGTGAAAGCAAAGCTTTTGGCAGAGGACGCACAAGTTTTTCGTGAAGGACTCCGAGACGAAGTGAAGAAGAAGATGTTGAAGTTCCTTCCTTGTCGCCGTTATCGCTTTACGCCACAACAATGATTCGGTGGTGAGCAATATGTTGTTGATACGTAGTTGTAGTCAGGATTAGAAGAATGTCCACAAGAACGTTCGCATGAATGTTCACAGAAGAATTTTCAAAGAATGTTCGCAAGAATGTTCGGCAGAATATATATTCCTACAACGTTCTGAATGTTCCGTCACGACCGAGCGTATCTTGACGGCCCCCACTCGTCAGGTGGCATTGCTTTTTCTTCCTCCAGGTTTGATTTATTTTAATGTTGGTTGACGAGTCTATTAAGCGATGTTTTCGGAGCTGTCGTATGAATGCGTAAAGTCAGCTGGCCGAAGGTTGGGTACGGGAGGTTTGTTTTCTCCCCGAGGCTCCTTCTTTGCTGGGCAGTGAAGTGCTTATATGGCTTCTGCTGAATGTGTGATGATGATGTGATCCTCCAGTTCGGTGGAGTGGGCTCTACGAATTGAATGTCTGACCGTCCGGTTCTTAACGAAAGGAGGCGATTGATCGACGGTCTGTACTAGAACCTCTAGTGTAGAGGGCACAGCAACGCGGTGCTCGAAGAGGTCGGTACTAGAATCATAAATCGTGTGGAGGGGGAACAGCAAGGGAGGGGGGGGGGGGGGGGGGGGGGGGGGGGGGGGGGGGGGGGGGGGGGGGGGAGAGGTGGATGGTTTACTCTGAAAACCAGTAGGTCTCATACTGACAGGCTGAGATCATAATGGCGTAAACCGGAGGATAGCTTTTGGGCGCGTCTTTCGACCATTTTTGCCCGATTTTAAAGAAATTTGTTCATTATTTTATGATGATATTTTATAATAATATCTATTATTAAATTTTCATCAAGGCTAGGATGGTTACGCTAGCAATGCGCCGGTTTCCGGAGGAGGACAGTCTTTAGTATTAGTCCCAGTTTTGCGCCAGAGACGAAGCAGGTTCATGTCCAAACAATGAACCGCCGGGGGCGTTCACATGTCCGAGATTTCATTTTTTGTCTTCCAAACCTGGCTCTACCCCGCTGGCTCCGTTTGACAACAACAGAACAACAATAAATAATAAATTCAATAAAGTGACAACATACGCGGACGGAAAGAAAACCCCAAAGTTTTGAAGCTCTGTTTCCATTTATCCCCCCCCTAGCGGCGGACCTTGCCCCTGGGAATGAGGACGGGAAGGACGAGAAGCTGTGGCCACATTCATCCCAACGAAGGAGTCTGATAAAAAAGCAAGGAACTTTCTTTAACAGCTGAAAAGGAGCCAGCCATTATAACAACATGTACTATCACATTTTTCCACTTCCCATCGTGCCTTGAACATTTTGCCTTTTTGCCACTTTTAACCATTTTTAAATGATTTTTTCCATTTCTTAAATTTTCTTTTCTTTTACTGGTTCTATGTATCTGCACCTACTCTCTCGCCTGTCTCTTATACACATCTAGATGTGTATAAGAGACAGCCCTCTGCCTGTTCATTCAGTACTTACTCCATGTACTTGAGCACCTCTCTCTCTCTCTCTCTCTCTCTCTCTCACACACACACACACACACACACACACACACACACACACACACACACACACACACACACATGAAGTC